GCATTATAAATAAAATGTATTATTGTTCCATTGCTCAAAAAGTCAGTCAGTATATAGTCCCCAAATATTTACTCCTGCTTGGGTAACGTTTGGTAAAAGCTGTTTTAGGAAATTACTATAAAGGAAATTACTATATGGTAGGAAAGTAAGAAGAAGAGAGATGGACTTTTGAACATCATTTCAATTGATTATTGAATGGGAGTAGCTGCTGAGTACAGCATTGGTGCTGAAAACTCCATAATAATCTAATAATGGGAATGCATAACCTGTCCCACCTTAACACAAACATAGTTACAGTTAATGACCGAACAGAGTTGTGTTTCTTCCCGTTCATAACACAAATTATAGGTTGTACTGAGGTAAGGAACAACAACATTGGACACAGGAGAGCTGGACAAACTCACGCAGAGTGAAAACACTGCAGTCTGGTGGAAGTGTGATGGTGTTGATTGTGTTTGCATGGCACTCACTGAGCCCTTTATAATTCATGTTTGAATGCTAAAGGACATCTGACCATCCCCTTATGCCAGCAGTGCCAGCACCTATCAGGGATTTTTAATAGTATAATGCACCATGTCAGGAGGTCAAAACTGTTCATCAATGCTTTCATGAATAAAACAGTGAAATCAGGTTACTCAGTGGCCTGTCCACTTATTAGATTTCAATCCCGAGCTGCTTGGGCTCTGTATACAAGACCAGCTGGTGGAGTCAGCCTGGGTCAGCATCCCTGTGGGGTGGTTTTAACTTGCCCCAATAAACTGAGACTGTTCAAAAGGACGGACTCGGTATTAGAAAAGTGTCACTCACACTATAGATACACCAAATAGCAAGGAGAGAAGGTAAAGAGAGCACATGTAACAAAGCTCATGTTTAAAACACAGTCCTACAAATAGGCGTATATGCACGCACATACAAACCAAACACAGACAGGTGCGGAGCTAAAAAAATAAGCAAATGATGTGAACAACTAATCCAATGTCCATTTATTTAATGCACCCAATGGAGGTATCTAGCAACGCTGCTCTTCATCAGACTAAATACAAACCTCCCATGCAACAAGGCCATGTGCTTGCTCTTGTGAAGGCACCATCCTGCACATTTTAAACCTGATGAAAACTTTAGGAGCTGTCCGTGGTTCTGAACGTGTTTTTTTTAAACCAGAGGCTCCGTGCAGTGCAGCAGGAAATGGACCTCTCACTCCCTTCGTCTATATTAAATTACACAGCTGTATATGTAGGGTGTGGTGTAGAGTGGTATTAAATGGAATAATCACCCTATGTGAACACACACACACACAAATATATTTCAGTCAGACAACTCAAGTTTGAAATGTTTATTACAGCAGTATAGCATATTTAGATTTTGGCATCTAGGCTCCGACCTCATCACTCCCCCACAGATATGTTTACATAGAGATATTGGGGAGTGATGAGAAAATACCTTAAACCCCTAGCCGGACCTACAGGTGGATGCTGGGGTGGTGGTGGGGCTTACAGCGCAGCAGCAATAGCTTACAGCGCAGCAGGCAGAAATACGGATGCAGGGAAACAACGGCATTGACAAGAGCAGATGGGAGAGCTGGGAAATTGTGCAGTTTAAATAGACCACGCCAGACTTGGAAGGGTGCACTTGGTTAGTGATTGTGGAATAAGGCATGTCATGTGTGTATATCAGCCAGCTCGAGTTGACTGCCTGGACTAGCTCGCAGGCTTCACTCCATATATGTTCATAAATATCTAAGGACAAAATTAAAGCAAATTTAGCAGTGCGTTGTCTAATGACTTAACTGAATGAATGTGGCTTTAATTTAACCATTGTGGGAATCATCTAAGATGAAACAGAGGGAGAGGTGTTATTATTTCTATTTTTTACTTTTGGAAGTGTGGTATTGCTCCTTAAATTGCAACACAGAGATGCAAGGGACTTCTCTGCAATACCTCATACTGATTACAATAAAAATCTGAAACAATGCATTTTAAATCACAAAATGTTCAGTGTGTCTTCTTGACTCACTCACTCAGTCGATACTGAGGGTGCGGAGTTGGAGTTGCCTCAGTTTTGGATAAGATTACACTGCAGAGAGAAAGAGCCCTCCCTCTATCCTCCCTGATCTCCTGACTTCATCCTCTCACTCCCAT